CCCCCCCCCCCCCCCCCCCTCAGTGCTGGAAAATGTCTGGCAGCCTCAGCAGTACTGTAGGCAGGAAATTTTAACAAACTACTGTATCTTTGCATGAACTTTTCTTACAGTTTACACCTTGCAAGAATTTTTTCTCATCTTATATACTGGAACACCGTATAATTTACTTAATCCCAAAAGCATTTTGCAAGTCGAGACTATCTTGCACCAAGATTGATGTCTATAATGCTGTGCGGCTTCATACGTTCTCTGAAATCTATGTAACATCATGGAAGTTTTATATTTGACTCACACAGGAAATTTTTATTTTTGAATTTCACTGCTAGGAAGAGAACTATATTTCCTAGGCCTGACCCTCCCCCCCCCAAAAAAAACAACAGGAAAGTATGTTGTTATTTATGTTAGTACTCGAGTATATATCCACACCGGGCAGGTTGAAAAGTTAGCTTGGCCACGGTGGGAATCAAACCTGCGACATTTGGGATACAGTCGTCCAATGCTCTGCCAACTGAGCTACGAGGCCATGTCTGTTCAAGTGTGTGGTATTTCAGAACTAAGTCTAGTACCTTCGATACCAATGTGTTATATAATATGATATTTTTTTGTGTGTGTCTTGATGTTATGTACTCGGGTGAATATAAACGTGATAAGAACTGAAAATATAGATTTTTATTCATTCATGTACCATTTCTTTCCCCAAAGCAACGGTCTGTTGGGTATGCATATTTCTGTAAGTCTCGCACACATGTGCCATACTCTCATCAACATTGAAATCTCGAAACGTCTCCTTTTCCTTGCCAACATTGTCTAGAATCACGGATGGTTTTAAGTTGTGAAAGGCATTATATTCATCAAAGGCTGGCTCTGGACGGTGTATTTGGGAAGGATCCGAGAGCGCCTAATAAATTAATTGTATTAAAAAATGTTAGTATCATAATTATTACTTAAACATTGACTGCTGGAGTCAGAGAGATTGCTGAAAAAGTCAACAATCCCAGGAAGAAAACCATTTATCATCAGCCAATTATCTGAAAAACTTGTAAAATCACTTTATAATTTATAATGAAGCTGATTGCTTACCTATGTTATACTCTTTAGTTTGGGCATATAGTTGCTGAACCATGGTATCATAGTATACTAGCTACCACAGCATCAATTCTGACAGGCGACATATTTGCCTTGAAATCGAGCTCGATCTCAGGGTTGGATATAAGAACATTTTTTCAAAAATAAAATGTTCTAACTTATTTCTTATATTAATATAAGAACATTTTTTGCAATATAAGAACATTTTCAAAAACTTTGATGACGTCATATTAACATGTCATCCAAAATCCTAAAATGACGATTCAACTTCAATTTTAGATGTTGCTGTAACGTCTTGGCTTTCAAAATTATAAAAATAGTTATCACTGCAGTATTTATTCGACTATTATCTGTATATTTTATTTTCAGGATGAATGTCAAATAGTTAACATTTACTACTTCGAAGTAGATTAATGAGAATAATATAAGAAAATATAAGAACATTTTTGTCTCCCAAAAAAATATTCTTATATAATATAAGAACATATAAGAACAACTAATATAAGAACATATTTTGCCAACCCTGTATGGAGATATATAGAAAACAATATAACAGCACAAAGTGTTATAAGGGTCTCAGTATTGCAATATACCATATATATATACTGATTTCTGATGACCCAGACTAACAGATCTTTGCCCAAAGCTAAAATTTTCCAAATTTTTCCACGTTTTTTCTGGAAGAACCTCAACAACTTCAACCATTTGTCTCTTTACGATTTGCTTCATTTCACATTTACACAAAGTACCAGCAAAAATAATTCAGCTGATTTCACACTCATGAAATGCAGACACATACAAGTCAACTGATCTCAATAAACTGGATATGAGACCAGTGAATGACCGGAAATACGTCATACAGTAATTAGAAATTCAGCTAAGAAAAGTAGCAAAAAATGTAAACAAAAAAACTCGAGATTGTTGGTATGACATGACACAGACAAAATATGAAACATGCTACCGGTATTTTAAACAACTAGATGGCACAAATATTCAACATAAATAAATAGGGCATAACCCAGTAAAGGGAATATATTAAATTACACAGGAATAGAGCTATTCAAGCGCATATTTGTAATTCGACACTTCACAGTTCAAATATATTCCCACCTTCTATTTTTATATACTATAAGAAAGCTTAGAATTGTTCTAGCGCTTGTTTAATATATTACGATTTCGGTAATAAGCCACGTTGGCAGCGAATACAAAACTAAAACAATTTATAATAATATTCGGTGAGATTTTCGCTTCGACTCACCCGGTCGGATGGCAAATTATATATAAATCTGTTGTCGTTCCATCGATTCATATTTATAAACATCGATTCATACAAAATAAAGCTTTTAAATCGAATTAAACTTCACAGTCGAAGTTACTTTGAAAATCGTAAACTAAACCAGTTACTGTACGTTTAAATGCTCGAGGATATTTGCCTTTGTCATTCGGATATCTCAAGATCCTGATTCACTATAAAATTAGCCAAAGGTGCATCTTCGATGTTTCTAGCGAAGGGCCATCGTCTGAAGGCTCGAAGCGGTTGAGTATTTTTCATAGTTTCGAAGTAATTCCGTCCTTCAATACTCTCGTAAAATTGTAAGTACTATAAATGCGTCATTCAGATTCACTCGCGAATTACAAGTGTTGTATATATTTATAGTATTATTAAAAGTCTGGAACATTACCTGACGCATGAGTAAGTCCTTCATAGTTTAAAAGTACGCTGTTTCACGATAATCGTCGATAATTCGATTGTTTGAACGCTTCAAATAGCGCACAGCGAACAACCCAAACTTTGTCTTGTGATAAATTTTTTTGCTTGTTTACTACGTAGGGCGATGTAAATGTCCTGGTAATTATGTTAAATCCAAAAACATGTTTGTCTCGAAACGAAAACCTGTTTTCTTAACAAGTCAAGATCACTGATCTATATATATTATATATAGAGACTTTTTTAATCGGAGAACGTGTTTTATACTGGTTTTATTTCATGTTATGACTATGCAAGTTATTTTTTATATAATATTTCAGGGTTTTTTTTATATATTCTAGTCACAGAAATTAGAATTTAATTATTAATTTAGAACGAATTAATGAATGTTGTCAACATTAGTAATTGTGACATCACAAAACACCGATCCACCGACCCACAGAAATTTTTAACCATTCAAATACCGGTGAATTTAGGTAAAATTGAGGTTTTTAATATACACTTTTCACCTATGTCTATGTTTAGCTTAAAACATTTATAACTATTATAAATAGATTTATTTCTTGAAACTAGGAACCTAAATTATTTACGCTTGTTACCAGCCAATTCACATTTTCATACAAGTCACCAGCCTGCGAGCAGAATAAGTCAAACGCTTAGCAAGCATTTAAATTTATTTAAAAAACTCATTAATAATTCAGGAGCAAAACACAAAGAAAAATCATAAGCGTGTCGTGGTTTATATGTGATAAAAAATATGTTAATTTCCATAAACTTTAGCTTTGATTTTCTCGGTTTAGACAAAGTTTATTTTATAAATTACTTCGCCAATGATCTCGTATAAAATGAGTCGTTTTTTAAGCCATTTAAAGCACGCGTAGGAGTGTTTTATCACATATAAAACACTCCGCTACTCGTCGTGTTTTATATGTGATAAAACACTCCTACGCGTGCTTTAAATAGTACATACTATGTGAATAAATTGAGTGGCAACAAGCCAACTGATTATGTATATTAACCTCGTTTACATGGTAACGAAACAATTACAAAAAATATTTATCATTGACGTCTTGACGATATATATATATATAACTTTAATAAATCTATTTTAATACGAACAAATATACAAATTTGTGATGATATAATCTCTGTATTACTCCTGGTGACTTGGTCGAACACATGAGCAAGTGACCGAAGGCAAGAATGAACGCGGTTATGTTTTTGCGGCTACTATACACGTAAAAACGCACAAGTTGTAACAAACCTGCAGCAGACTTGAAGCAATGCTGTTCCAACGACTTGTCAACAGGATGCGTTCGCACTGCTTGTTCCCAGCTTGCGGACAAGTAGTAACAGCATTGTCACAATTATGCTACAAGGTTGTCGAACTCAACAGACTTGTTACAAGTTGTTCCAACAACTTGTTATCGTCCTGTAATTCAACAATTTGTCAACAAGTTGTGAGTGACAACCTTGTAGCAACTTGAAATAACAGCATTGTTACAACTAGTTGACAAGCTTCTAGGTTGTCGAACTCAACAGACTTGTTACAAGTTGTTCCAACAACTTGTTATCGTCCTGTAATTCAACAATTTGTCAACAAGTTGTGAGTGACAACCTTGTAGCAACTTGAAATAACAGCATTGTTACAACTAGTTGACAAGCTTGCTACAAGCCTGTTGCGAACACATCTTGTTGACAAGTTGTGAGATTTTTACATGTGTAGTAGTGGTAGTATTACTGTATTGTCTATTATTGCTATAGAGAGGTTGAAATCAAAATGTGAATCTCTGTACTACACACGTAAAAACGCACAAGTTGTAACAAACCTGCAGCAGACTTGTATAGCAAAGCTGTTCCAACAACTTGTCAACAAGATGTGTTCGCAACAGGCTTGTAGCAAGCTTTTCGACAAGTTGTCAACGGATTCTTGACAGCTTGCAACCGTTGACAACTTGCAACCGTTGACAACTTGCCACAAGGTTGTTGAGCTCAACAGACTGGTTGCAAGTTGTTCCAATTACTTGTTATCGTTCTGCAATTCACCAATTTGCCAGCAAGTTGTGAGTGACAACCTTGTAGCAACTTGATAAAATAACAGCATTGCTACAACTTGTTGGCAAGCTTGTAACAATTCGGTTGCGAACACATCTTGTTGACAAGTTGTGACATTTTTACTTTTGTACTATGTAGTTTTATATGTTTCGAACAAAGCATCATCACTCGTCATTAAATATTGGCAACATTTATGCTAGATACGGAAGATAGTTCGTCTCATTCGTCAAGACAGCCCACGTTGCCACAGGCAATCCAAGCAATCAATACGTATTATAATTTAATACATGTTTCTCATTGAAATGGCGCAAGGGATAATAGCAGTCACATTTTTGAACCGCATTTATTGAACTATTTACTGTTTGTTTGCTTATGAAATAGGTTATAAAACCATCACATAAACATATATTACATTATAATACGTATAGATTACCTGGGCCCCTGGCTGGCCGTTTTAGGGGCTTGGAGTTGAGGCGCGAGAAGCAACAAATTAGGGGGGTGATGCAGGCAAGATCCCGCGTCGCCTCGTCCCACTCCCCCTTTGCCGGCACCCTAGGGTCCACCACTGGGCTTTAAATGGATAATCTCCATAATAAATGCTATTGCATTGAGCTTGTACTGTAACGCATACGGTTGAGTTTCTCCCTGTTACCAAAATGACCACGTTTTAACATGTGTTTCACAAGAATCTACAGAGATAAATAAAACAAAGTACTTTAGCTTAGTGTTTCGATTCCTGCCTATTATCATTTCGCATCAGTTGCACGTGAGAAGAGTGCTTCCAGTTTGACATTTCCAAACATCAGAAGTATTCCCCTTCGCTATAGAGCTATCCAGTATAAATAAAGTTAGTCTAGGTTTCCTCCTGTAGTAACACTGGATCAATAAGAGATGATCCTTACTGGACCTCTAGGGAGAACAGTTTAGAACTGATAGAGCTATCCAGTGTAAACCAATTAAAGTTTATTAAAGTTAGTTTAGCCAGACTTACCAATGTCTTAATTTTCGAAAGTTAGTCTAGGTTTCCTCCTGTAGTAACACTGGATCAATAAGAGATGATCCTTACTGGACCTCTAGGGAGAACAGTTTAGAACTGATAGAGCTATCCAGTGTAAACAATTAAAGTTAGTTTAGCCAGACTTACCAATGTCTTAATTTTCGGCACACTCCGAATACTATTATTTATCTCTTCTTCAGTTGGCTCCAGAACTGTACAGTTATCGTACGTCGACGGAAGTGGTTCAGAGCCACCTTTAGTTAGCCATTTATGTACCTAAAATACAGTTCAATAACCTTGACGCACATTGTCCCAGAATGCATATTCCAATATAGACCCCATAAAGTTCACTGCATAGTAACCAAGGACTTAATTTATATATGTGAGTGAATTGGGTGGGATAACTTACATGCCTAGTTATACCACTGTTGTGATAATGTAAACAATACTAAACATAGAAGGGAACCAAGGTTACCAAGCATTTCACTTATATATGTGATTGAATTGGTCACTATAGATCTATTCTCTGCCCAGAATTTTGATACAATAATGAAAAGTACCTTCATATCAGGGATAGTTATTCTATTGCTTGGATCTTTGATTAACATTCTGTTAAGTAAGTCTTCGAGACCCGGACTTATTTGACAGCTAGAAAAAAGAGATATATTAGTGATGAGTACAATCCTATCATTTTTGTATAATTACAAAATCTCACAACTTGTCAACAATTACCTTGTAGCAAGCTTGTCAACAAAATGTGTTCACAACAGGCTCGTAGCAAGCGTGTCATGCAACAAGTTGTAACAATACTGTTATTTTATCAAGTTGCAACAAGGTTGTCACTCACAACTTGTTGACAAATTGTTGAATTGCAGGACGATCACAAGTTGTTGGGACAACTTGTAACAAGTCTGTTGAGCTCAACCTTGTAGCAAGCTTGTCAGCAAAATGTGTTCGCAACAAGCTTGTAGCAAGTTGTCAACAAATTGTAACAATGCTGTTATTTTACCAAGTTGCTACAAGGTTGTCACTCACAACTTGTTGACAAATTGTTGAATTGCAGGACAATAACAAGTTGTTGGAACAACTTGTAACAAGTCTGTTGAGCTCAACAACCTTGTAACGAGTTGTCAACAAGTTGTAGCAATGCTGTTATTTTAACAAGTTGCCACAAGATTGTCACTCACAACTTGTTGACTAATTTTTGAATTGCAGGACGATAACAAGTTGTTGGAAAAACTTGTAGCAAATCTGCTGAGCTCAACAACCTTGTAGCAAGTTGTCCACAAGCTGGGAACAAGTAGTGCGAACACATCCTGTTGACAAGTTGTCGGAACAGCATTGCTACAAGTCTGCTGCAGGTTTGTTACAACTTGTACGTTTTTACATGTATAGACTATAAACATTTAAAGGGGGAAAAATACTTACTCTTCGGGAAATTCCAATCTATAAATAAAAAGATTGGTAAAAACAATTTTATTAAACTTTTATTACAACGAATTGAAATTACTATATACAGTAAATGAACTCAAAGAAAAAATATGCATAACTCACTCGCTCGTCTTTATCAATTCGTAAAGACTAATTCGGTTATTGTGATTAAATGGAATCTATTGAAGAAATAAAAGTGTTTTTAATTCATATTTCTACTGTAAATATAATATTCGAGATAAACAAATATATACATTTGTTTTCAGGACAGTTTGCCTCTTTTAGCATGATAGGCTCACATGAAGGTTATATATGTTTCTCTTTGACCTTGAGCCCAAACACAAACCCACACGTAAAAACGCACACAAGTTGTTGCAAATATGTTCACAAGCTGTTGTTCTAACACGTCTGATGCAGTCATGATAAACAAGAATGTTACAAGGTTGACGACACAAGGTTGTAACAATACTGCTATCAGATATTATGACTGTATCGGACTTGTTGGAACAACCTTGTGACAAGCCTGATAATATCAACAAGAATGTTACAAATTGTTAACAGCTTGTTCCAAACTTGTTGACAACTTGTGACAAGCATGCAGTGCGAAGACAACTTGTTGACGGCTTGTTGACAAACTCATTACAAGATGCGAGATTTTTGCGTGTGTATCCTTAACTAACCTTATTGAGCACGAGACATAAGGAAATAAGCACATGAAAATGAGGCCATTGGGGCAAAATCCAGCAAGCGGTAAAGCACATGATTAGCTCTCACCTTTCCAAATACAAAACAATACAAAGTGATCCCCATTGCCCACACATCTGTTGCTTTGCCACTGTATTTGTCTCTTGTAGCTGCAGAGACAACTAACATTAGACAAGAAAATCAACAGCTATAGGGGGAACTTGAACGAAGCATGTTTAGCTTAAGGTTGGTACGACAATTTTTCGACACAAGGGCTACTATTAACTTCGAAAAGTCGAAGACGAAGCTCTGTTTATATTTTTCAGGTAGATGTATCTCAAATGCTTAAAAAAATTGAAAATTGTATATTCTACACGCGTAAAAATCATCATGTTGATGCAAGTTGTTCAAAACAGGAGCGAACAATGTTGTGCTGCACCCCATGAACAATATTGTTAACAAGTTGTTGAACCATCAATATTGTTGCAACTTGTTGACAATCATGTTAACAACTTGCAACAGTACTGATGGTTGAACAACTTGTTGACAATATTGTTCACGGGGTGCAGCACAACATTGTTCACTCCTGTTTTGAACAACGCCGAACAACCTGATCAATTTTTACCCGTGTATGTGGAGTGACCGTTCAAAATTTTTAGTCGTACCTGACTGGTAGTCCGAAGGTTATGGCCGCGTACTTGAGCTGGTACAAACTTAAGACTCATGGTGTACTAATAGTCTTTAGAATGAAGTACATAATGTACAGGTTTCTGAAAGGTATTCATTCAGTAACTTGGAACTAGTAGTTAGATACACAAACACTACGATCGACTCTAACATTCCTTAACGCCATGTTACACGGTGCAATTTTTCTTGCAACTTGCAATGCAATTCTACTCTTGAGAGATGTTAATTAGTGAAATCAGTGAAGAATTTTTGATATGTTGAGAAAACATCAGCGGAGTGTAATGAAGACTCGTATTTGGCAATTTTACATCTCTCAAGAGTAGAATTGCATTGCAAGTTGCAAGAAAAATTGCACCGTGTAACATGGCCTATAGTCCCATCTGGTCGTATCAATCAGGTTTAATGCCAAGTCATGCTAGAGTTGCACATGTTCCGACTAGATTATGGTTTTGAATAACTTGGCTTGGAAAGGTCAAATGGTACAGGTAAAAAGTTAAGTATGCAGATGGGAAGAGTACCACCACAGAATAAGGCACACAGAAGGTCGACTCGAGCACAGATGACTTGAGTAACCGCTGCCATGCCATGATTCATCATCAAAATGCTGACGCCGTGGTCCTAGCCAATGCGCGTTTGAGAGGCATTCCCCCCTGGACATCCGCCATTTTGACTGATTATCATGGGGGTGAATGCCTCTCAAACGCGCACTGGCTAGGACCAAGAAGCCGGCCTACTGTGTGACTTATTCTGTGGTACCACGTACCCATGTGGTACATGACTGAAAAGACAGAAGTACCAGACGGCAATATTGGCGTACCTCCGGCATGTAAGTACGCGATCTATCGCACCTTTCGGGTGTAGTTTTTGGTTGACCCATCCTTTCAAGAAAACTGATAGCTATTTTTTGTACGGCAAAATATCCGACAATTTACCATTGGGTCGGAAAATGTCCGATGTCCGACCGTTCTGGGCATGATGTCCAACAGGCTCTGTAATACTGACCTTGTAAAGCTTCTGGAGCCATAAACGCAGGTGATCCCGCAGTCTTAGAAAGCAAAGCGTCTTCCCCTTCAAATATATCAGCGACACCAAAATCTGCAATCTGAAATCACGATCAACGATTATGTAACAAAACCACTTTCTCGCTACCTCGCCACTGAAAGATAATTTGAAATGAAATTGTTCACGAATGACAATTGTTCATGAACATACGACACCGTACCTTAATATGACCGTCATCACAAAGTAAAAGGTTGGAGGGTTTGATATCTCTGTGGACTATTCTATGAAAATGTACTGAAAATAAAAATATATTAGACAATGTCCCTGTTGGGGACTGGCTACGCCCCTGGGCTTTTCACTCTGCATATATAATCGACACTACTTACAATATTCGATTCCAGAGTGGATATCTCTAAAGTATTTCCTTGCGTCAGACTCGCTCAGCGGATTATCTGTTGGAACCTCCATCACTGGTCTGAAACCAACAACAATAACATTTATTATTATTTCAAAAACGCATTAATAATTCATGAGGAAAACACAAAGAAAATCATAAGTGTGTCGTATCTTTATATGTGATAGAGATTTCCCTTGATTTACATGTTTACTTTAACTTTGATTTTTTTGAATTACACAACGTATTTTTGAAAATTACTTCGCCAATGAACTTACTAGATTGATCGTTTTTGAAGCAATTTAAAACATTCGCAGTGCGTGTTTTATCAGACCTACTAAAGATACTCGGCTTCGCCTCGTATCTTTATATCTGATAAAACACTGCTGCTCATGTTTTAAATAGTACGTAATGTTTGTTTTTAATCCTGTAAAGCTGTAACTGCTGTGACTCTACTTCGGGATTTATTAATTTTGTATATGTCTTATTAGTCTTAAAGACATATTGTTTCATACGACAACACATCTTAAAGAACATAATCCATGTAAGGTTTCTTATAATATTATATTGTAATCTTTTGCAGAAATTGAGCCCTCCACATCTGATCTGAAGAGCGCTATTTTGCTGCTAAAATTCGCCCTGCAGCGGTGTCTCACATCAGAATACCATGATTAGCATAAAAGGAAGATATTACAAAATCCATCAATTGTTACTCACCCCTTCTCGATGAGCTCAAAAACTAAAAATTCAATGAGTTAAAAGATAAGTACAAGAAATTTAATTTTACCATGGCCTGCAAAAAATAATTCATGACTCACCTAAATATAGATTATCATCCGAAGGGTCATCAAGAACCTAGGAAATGAATCAACAACATGAATGGAAATTTCAAAAATTCTTCTCAAACTTACTAATAATTTATGAGCAAAACACAAAATAAACCAGCACAGTATTGTTGTCTTCATACCACTGCAATAAACGCCTAAAATTTCTGGTTAAGTACAAGTCTGTTTGAGACTTGAAACTCGAAAGCTGTTTTTTAACGGCATAAAGAACACCTCAAAGTCTGTTGGAAAAACTCGACTAGCGACTCGTTATTCAACGCAACTTTCTCCTTTGTTGTAAATGATAACAAATGACAATAAGTACTATTTAAAACACGAGCATGCAGGATTGCTTTTATTATCATGCAGATACAAAACACGAAGCGACAGTCGAGTATCTTATATCTGAAAAAACAGAGACTGCGAGTGTTTTAAAATTGATTGAAAAACAACCCATCTTATGAGTTCATTGGCGAAGTAATTTTAAAAATCAACTTTGTCTAAGCCGAGAAAATCAAAACTAAAGGCTATGTAAATTAACACGATTTTTTATCACATATAAAACTGTCCACCGACACGGTACTGAATTCCTTTGTCTTTTATAATTAATTAAATTATACAGTAATAAATGATAATAAATTGTACCTCATGAAGTTTGACAACATTCGGATGGTCAACTTTTTTCAATATGGCGATCTCTCTCTTCAAACCTTCCAACGCATCTTTCTTGCCTCTATCAGCCGGCTTCACTATAAAACATAAATAACAAGTATCGTGAATATTAAGATAAACTGATGCTTGTGATGTTACTCTGAGTGTATATCCACATTGGGCAGGCTTGAAAAATATGCCTGGCCACGGTGGGAATCGAACCTACGACCTTTGGAATACCAACACAATGCTCCGCCAAGTGAGCCACGCGGTCAGGTCGGTTCGAGTATGTGATATTTCGGAACTGAGTCTAGTTCCTTCGATATCAATGTAATGTAATAATCATGATATTTGCTGTGCTGGTGTAATGTACTCAGGTGAATAAGCCTGAAACTCACCTGAGTACATTACACCAACACAGTAAATATCATTAAGATAAACGTTTGTATTGAAATTTATTTATTTATTCCCTCAAGCATTTCTTACAAATCCTTCAAAACTTAAAATGTATCTATGCAAAATTCCTACTGTGATCACAGAAACTTTGATAGTGTGAACCTGAGGCTTTAGAATACTTACTTAGTCCTGCCTTTCTTATAATTCTTTTCTTTGACATAATTTTCATCGCCTTAAAAAAAACAACAGACGCGTAACACACGCATGTGAACAATGAACACGAAATACCTTGTTACAGTTCTGGCTTGATTGGTATTTTGGATGCATTGACACTAATATACTTACATAATTATGATGGTCTGATTCTGAGTGGCAGATCCTCACTACGCCATAGGATCCCTGAAAATTTAGTCAAGATAATGATATTCAAGTCGTAACCGTATCACACCTCACCTCAAATACCATATACCATACCATATACCATACCATATACCATACCATATACCATACCATATACCATACCATATACCATACCATATACCATACCATATACCATACCATATACCATACCATATACCATACCATATACCATACCATATACCATACCATATACCATACCATATACCATACCATAAACACAACATACCACAACATACACATCATGCCACCATCATACACCATTCTACAAACCATACCTTGCCAATTTCCTCCAGAAGATGATACTCGTTTAGGGAAAGACACCATACCATATACCATACCATACCACAACATACCACAACATACACATCATGCCACCATCATACACCATTCTACAAACCATACCTTGCCAATTTCCTCCAGAAGATGATACTCGTTTAGGGAAAGACCATTCTATTTAAAAAAAGTCAAGAGAATATTTAACAATTATTCATTATTATTATTAATAAAATTTTACAAGTTGTTTTTTTTACCAAAGTGGAGATGAATAGTTTAACGAAATGAACGATGATGAACGAAAGGGGAAGCCATTTTGTTTTTGTTCGGAGGTTACTGGTGCAAAGATGTCCGGAGATGCGAGCATGTTGTTGCATTAAGGTGGATTTCCATCCAGTACAGAATGTTGCACGATCGATTTTTTGCGATCGTTTTCTTTTGAAATATGTGCAGTCAACTACAGCTAATGAGATTTGTTCCGTTTGACTGTTTGTATTTCAAAAGAAAGCGATCGCAAAAAGTCGATTGTGCGACATTTTGCACCGGATGGAAACCCGCCTTAAAGCCTGCTACTGTAGTTCGAGGGTAGGGTATTGACTTGGAATTACAGAATATTAGTATCCCACTCTCTCTTATCAAACCCACCTCTGTTTGCAATCTGTTAACGTGATGACTCTCCTTCGCTGGCGGTCGGGCGATCCGAGGCGACGACGGCACTGACCGACTTGCAGGAATTGGTTCGCTCATTTGTCTAACCAGTGCGGCGTGCGCATACTCGTCTTCGGAGAAAACTTTGTCAACAGTGAGAAGGTTTTGACTCCCACATGAGCGTCTTAGAAGTGACTTGCTGTCACCTCCCGCAGACCTTCAAAAAGTCAGCAAATTGAAGAAGGAATGAGCCCGATTTATGCACTAAAATCTCAAACGCATTAATAATTCATGAGTAAATTAGGCTGCGTCCAGACTGGGTGCCCGGCACTGGTGCCCGGCACTGGTGCCCGGCACTTGTTTTGGCTCCCAGTTTGAACACGACGCTTTCAAATGAAATTGGGCACAGTGCCCAAGAACGGGAACTACCTCTAGAGGTAGTACTCAACAACGGCACTGTGCTTAACATGTTTTGTGAACCATTTTGAACATTGGGCACCAGGCTCGTTCAGACTGAGTGCCCGACACTGGTGCCCAATGTTCAAAATGGTTCACAAAACATGTTGAGCACAGTGCCGTTGTTGAGTACTACCTCTAGAGGTAGTGCCCGTTCTTGGGCACTGTGCCCAATTTCATTTGAAAGCGTCGTGTTCAAACTGGGAGCCAAAACAAGTGCTGGGCACCAGTGCCGGGCATCCAGTCCAGTGTGACCAGGTTTAGTACATTTTATTACCAGATCCGGTTGGATGCCCTTAGACAACCCCACCTGCTTTAAACAACTGCAGCATTAAGAACAGGAGGGGGCAGCCAACCAATTTTAAGCAGCTTTAGTAAAAAAAATTGCATATATGGTCACACTGACCCAGTCTGGACGCAGCCTAATTTACTCATGAATTATTAATGCTTTGAGAATACCTGGTAAAGTATATTGATTCAGTCCTAGGACTGGAACAAAATTAATTCACCTCACTTTAAGTAGTTGATTTATTCGTATGAGATGTCATTTCAAATCCTCCAATAGACCTTTCCCCTTTTAAGTGAAATTTTGAACTGAACACAGGTGTGCTCTTCCGATCTATCACAAAATTAGTAATATTCCGAAATTTCGTTGCAAAATGTTGTAAAATGCGGATAATATAGCCTGGCGAAGTTTGCCGTTTTTCAGTCATTTTGCATTACAAACGGGAAATTGATAATCAGATGATCAAACTGATTATCAATTTGTAATACAAAATGACTGAAAAACGGCAAACCTCGCAGAGTTATATTACAGTATCCGCATTTTACAACATTTCGCAACGAAACTTCGGAATATTACTAATTTTGTGATGCTCTTTCAAGCTGTGATGAAATTTTTGTCCAGACTTGTCTAGATCAAAATTTCACTCAGAAGGGGAAAGGTCTATTCAGACTGGCGACTAGATTTCATTTTGATCCAGTCCTCGGCTTCGGATCAGATTGCGCGGAATTGAAATCTAGGCCAGTCCTCATAGTCGGATATGAAATATTACACTGCAGAACTACTGGGTATAAGCTATTCTATATAATAAAGCAACGACGAGAGTGAGTAGAATAACTGTTAAATAATAGCTCTAGCGTAAAAATCTCACACGCAGCTTGTCAAATCCCGCAACAAGTTGTTCGAACAAGTCTGACGTCGTCTGCACGTAACAAATTGTTAACAAGTTGATGACAGCAAGCTCGTAACGAACAGTCTGTATTAAGCTTGTTGGAACAACTTGTAGCAAGTCTGTTACCGTGATCAACCTTGGAACAAGGTGATGACAACTTGTTTCAGACTTGTCACAACAACTGGGAACAAACAGTGCGAACACAAACAGTGCGATCTCTAACAACTGAGCGCTTTTAAGCCGGTTACAGACGAGCAAGTTTTCTGTGACAAGTTTTTTATGTGACAAGTTTTATTTGCCAAGTGCACGTGCAGTATATGCAACAAATTTTATATGAGAAGTTTTCATATGACAAGTTTATTTACTGGTGTGAACGTGTCAGAAAAAGGTGTTTATCGCCGCCATGACAGAAAAATTATAATAGTTCGCTGGCCAATCACATCAAATGTTCAGATTACTTTGACAAGTTTTCTTTGTTGACCCATACAGACGAACAAAATTTGTACTTTGACAATTTTTTCTATGACAAGTGCACTTGTTCAAAAGCTAGCATGCTATAGCTTTTGAACAAGTGCACTTGTCATAGAAAAACTTGTGAAAGTTGCGCGTACAGACGAGCAAATAAAACTTGTCACATAAAAACTTGTCATAGAAAACTCGCTCCTCTGTAACCGGCTTTATGTACGTGTCTTTCATCCAATTACCTTCGCAAAATATGAGGTGTGTTTCCCGCGCTTTTACTGGGGCGAAGAGGGACGTCAGAAACTGAATGTCTTGAAGATATACTTGAGGAATCCTTCGGCAATTCATGGCTGTCTGATATGTGCTGACCGGCTGAGCCGTTTTCACAAGCAGAAATCTTGTTGCTTCGATGAGAGTTGCTTTTCATGTGGCCAGCGCTGCCATTTGCACACCTGTTGGGGAATTAAACTGTTTTTCAAGAACGTTCATTTTGAAGTGTTGATGGCATGGTTAAGCTCTGGTCATACGAGAATGAGAGTTGAGAAGCGAGAGTTTGCATGAGAGTTTTCTCAACTCTCGTGCCCCGCAGTCAAACGAGAACAAAAGTCGCATGAGAGTTGATGAAAGTTGAGAAGCGAGAGTTTGCAATGAGGGTTTTCTCAACTCTCATGCCCCGGTCAGACGAGAACAAGAGTAAGAGTTGTATGAGAGTCGATGAGAGTTGACTGGATATTAAGCATGAGAGTTGATGAAAGTTGAGAAGCGAGAGTTTGCAATGAGGGTTTTCTCAACTCTCATGCCCCGGTCAGACGAGAACAAGAGTAAGAGTTGTATGAGAGTCGATGAGAGTTGACTGGATATTAACACGATAACGAAAACTCTTATCAACTCTCAAAAAAATTGAACAAGTTCAAAGTCCTTGGCCTTGCATGACCGAAGCTTTAGCAGGAATTTAGTCAGAGGGTTGCTCAATCGTCCTATCTGGCAGTCACTTTCGAATTTTCCGTACTACTTTCAACTAAGATTCGCTCTATTTCCATAGTATATAAGAATTTGAAAAACATTTCTAGTAAAATTAGCTTATAGTTTGATTTCAGTAACGGTATAAAGTTCATTCTAACGGCAACGTCGACGATATTTTATGGTTAGGGAAAAATGTTCGTGACACTACTCGTCCTGGCTGACCCCTACACGAGTTGTCCATTTAACAAAGGTGTCCCTATAGGAATTCAATTCTAGTTTATCTTGACAAATGACCTATTAACGTTCCTCTAGAATAAATCGTAGATTTATTTCATACCGTGATCGACACACAGACATACACTAATCCCTTGACGACCTTCACAAAATAACCACATGCATTCCTGAGTATATTCAATCATACACTTTCACGAATTTCATCACACAATTTCACTGACTCCATTGGCATTGCTACCACGAGTTTTACGAAGGTGAAACGTTTGAAGTAAACTTTGAATGGCAGCTTTGAATTGTAGAGCGTTCTATTGGAAGTCATTCATGCAAATTAAGGCAACATATTTTTCTCGTGACAGATTTATTATTCGTTGCTATGAAAGGAAAGAACTTAATATGTTGATAAGATGACAACTTAATGCTTGTTTGCTCTTCAAGAGTTATTAGGCTCTATGAATATGTATTTATTTGTAATTTTAAATACATGCAGATGCAGTGTTAATTAACATCATAATACAATTAAATTCTCTGGACTCTGATTGGTTAATTATGCCACAATGTTGAGAAATGGTAAAAATAGATTATTTATATTGATAAAAACACAGCCAAACATTCAGACAAACATGTAGTATGTTTTTACATACTACACATTTTCTCACACCTAAACACCGAATTTGTTTGTGCAAAGTGAGGTTAAAAAATTTCTGGCAATATTATTGGTTAATGAAAAGGTTTCACCCTAAAATTGTTTCACTATAACCAAACAATTTGCAAAATTTGTTTTTCGCTTTGCTTTTTGCTAAAAATTTGCCAAGCAGAAAATGGGGGTTTACTCCTTCTAACATCAGATGATTTTACTTGTAGCACTTGCTTGTATAGTAGGGAGACACATGTGTATTAATGGGAACCCACAAGGGACTAACTCTCAATTACCCCCTCCATCATAAAACAAGTCATTTTGAATGTTTTTTTTTTTGAGGGGGGGGGGAGGTGACAGTCTCTCCTTAGCACACAGACTATACCCTTTTCCTAGCCAGGAGTTAATCGCCGCCCGCAAATTAACAGCCGGGTTACACTGACAATACACCCTTCTGGAGAGTAGATCACTTTGGCCATAGAGCCATACTTTCAAATATATACTTTCTTATACACGAAGCTAGACAAGGCTCTATAGCCAAAATAACATACTTTCCAGAAGGGTATATTTACTAGACTTACTAGGTACCGGTACACTGATAAGGAGTCAGACCAGTGTATGGTGTTAGTGTACATATGTTCTGTGGCATACAGCAATGCTACTTGGTAGATATTTATCTCCTAATGTCTACAACAAGTTGTATAGATATATTTTCTAGAGTACACAAAACATATAACACAGATTAAGTTCTTACGTTCGTGCTTTGCTTTTCCCAGAGCAGGATGTCGCTAAACACAATTAAAGTACAATAAGACATATTTTAATTCAATGAAAAATCACTCCAAGCTCATAAAAAAATTGTAGAAAAATGTTATTGTAAAACTGACCTGCTCCCATTTTAAACTAAAATAAGGATTCCTTCTTTAGCTATTCTGCAGATACTGTATTTTCTCTCTGTACAAACTTCCATTTTATGCTTGTGAAATATCACCTACAGAAATATATCATTAATAATGGCTAAATCAGCAGCTAAACACATTGCTGAAATTAACAGATATACAATAATAGATTGATTCAAGAGCAAACTCGTTTGAACTGTTGACTGACTGTGCAAATAAATTGCACCAGATATACCTGGTAAAGGGTTATATATTCATGAGCACCATGCTCTAGCTAGCTGACTAACAGATTGACTACAGCTAGTACAATAGTTTTATTTATTAATAGTGAGATAGCTATTCACAGAAGCCCACTGACTAATTAAAAACGTCTCGCTTACTGAGAGTGTTGCTAATGAACATATTCTCATATATTAAATTCGCGATTCCTCTTATTATGTTTTTGTAGCGCTTTGCATTGTGGTTATAGTGGTATCATTGATAAAGATAGCGGCCTCAAATGAAAATATTGAATGTTTTCGCAAATATTTTGCTGTTGGCTATCGCGCACCTGACCCAAGCTTTTTTTAAAAGTTTTTGCACGGATCAGGACAATCTTGACCTCTATATCATACCACTATAACCACAATGCAAAGCGTTACGAAAACGTAATAAGGGGAATTGCAAATTGCATAGTGTTCATGAGGGAATGTGAGCTAGCCTGTTTGTTGAGATCACAACAGAATTTGCCATTTAGAGCAAAATGCAGGATCAAAAATTTCTGTAGGATAAAGTGATTTTACATTACAACTTTTAATTTAATCCAGTTACATATAATATTTAAAATATGTTAATAATTAATGCGAACAAATTTTAAATGTTATTATCCAAGTAAGACAATTATTTTTAAACCAAACGTGAAAGATAACAGAATTAATGAAATATGTGTCACATGGACGGTGAATGAAACTGACAACATGTCAGCCTTTTTTATCAATTTAACACATATTTCATCAATGAAACAATAAGTTTTTAAGTGTTAATCTTGGCAGGCAGGGTAGTACCCAAACTCATATGAACAGGTCTTCAGTTTCGTGTGAATATTTGCTGACACCACTCAAATTTTTCCTTATATAGACTTTTCCTCAATTTTGTGCAGATTAAGAAAATTAAAGTTACTGTGAGCTATTGTCAAACTGTCAAAACTCTAAATATCTTTAGCAGCAGCTGATGTTGATTTGCTGATTTGCCAGACAAAATGCATATGGCCTGCCTTATACAAACTAATCTAAGTGATAGCTCAGCTTGACAGCTAGAAAGTATTGGGCAGCTGTTCATATGAAAGCCGGCCTGGTAAGCGAGACAAGCAACAAAGCAAGATCTCACTGTGCAATTATTTTTATAGAAGCAATTGTTTTGTGTTCGTATGGAAAACCAAGCCAGACAGCAGGCAAAATCTCAACTAAATGATCTGACAAGAGCGATAAACTTTTCCCATATAAACTCAAGTCAATGTCCATCTTACCGAATAGCCAATCTCATTTTATAATGGGCCAGCTTCTAATGCTGCAACCCCCAGAAATCCTATTCAAGATAGCAGACATTACCTCATAAATTAATGAGATTTGTGGCATTTTAATTTCACATTTGGTTTGAGTTAATAAATTAGTGGTTCAAAAATACTTAACCTAAATGGCTGGCAATTTGAAACGCTGTTGAAATTACTTTGACCATGCAGATTTAAATCAAGACTCGTTTATTTGTTTGAAATATATTTGGTACTTTTCTACAGTAGATGAACACAAACGGTTTCATTGTTATGCATTTTAAAAATATAATAAACTCTATATTGTCTAGAAAGTACTGCTTTATATTTACTAAAACTAGTGTTTATACTAAACATTTATGTACAAAGTTATATTTATTAAAGTATCCAACAAGGAATAACATATGAATATAAAAATGTTAAAAACTCTTAAAATTAATTGAAATACGAATAAAATTAATCGCTGCAAAATTTCTGAACAAAATCCGACTTCAATGCATGTTATAAAACAGTTTATGATACATTTTACGAATGTTATCTCGACGGTTGGTGTCGAAATCGTGAACATTTTGAATTAATATGCGTTGAAATCAGATAATTTTGCTGCAGGCAATATCTTCGAATTGAAGAAATTTTCAAACTTTATGCATCCGCTCGTCCTTGGCGAGTTGCTAGGCCAACGGAAACGGATCTTATATAAATGGCTGCTAAATAAAAGCATTTAAAAGTTAACTACTACACACAATTTGTCAGACAAAGCAGTATTTATTATCGTATATTAAACATACCTATTTCTCTCCGTCGGGATGCAAACAGTTATAGGAGACGTGACATGATCGCAGCCAGTCGTCACGCACAAATATTAAAATTCAAAACAACGATTTATATCTCACATCAGAAACGCGATGCTATATCATTTTGTCATTAAGTAAATAATGACTGCTGTGTAGAGAATACCGGCTTTGTATCGATGTTTTAGTCACATTCAACAACAAAAGCGTAAAAAGAGATTTGAATGATGATCTTCTAGTTTACGAAACAGCGGGAGTTCTGATTGACGTAATTGTTTACAAGATATATATCGAATTTTTATGCCGCATGCGGACAATATTTCATCACTTGGAAGTAGGTCCGAATGAGCACGATTTGATACGATGATATACGAGCTTTCACGATACCGTCAATTTCATCTAACAATGCATATTCGCAGGAAAAAAAAGCATTGTTTATGCATTATCCATTCGAAAATTTCATTCTGTTTAGCGTGGGGCTAGTTATACGCATCATTATTCTAAATTCTCTATTAAGCAGAGAGAACGTCCTACCGGCTGGAACGGAGCGTACGCCCTCTAATATAAGCCCCCTCCCCTATTACCCCCCCCCCTCCCTCCCTGTTGATATTTCCCGTCATAATTTGCCAATATTGGATGCATTATATTAAGTCCTCAGAAATTCCTTATAGTTTAATTAAAGAAATTTTGTTATGGATCTCATAGTGATTCTCGTCGAATCCCATTTCTGACAAAGCTTTCACATGAAGATATAAACAAACAAAAGCAGCAACCTTTAAATCTCAAACACTACTTGTCAGGACCGGGTTAACGTTTCGCGGCCGGGGCCCCTTCACCCCCTCCCCGACGGCATTTTAACCCATTCTCATTGAGTGGCAGCACTCTCTCCCTGACAGGGAAAATCGTCTGGCGTTAGACGGAATAAAATAATAAAGCAGGGCGCATCTGGGCGCATTGCCACTTAAAGGGTTAAGAGTGCATGGGCAGATAGTCGACTGAACCCTTTGAGTGGCAGGCTTGCAGCACTCTCTCCCTGACGAGTCTGCCGTTAGACAAAGTAAAATAATAAAGTAGGACGCATTGCCACTTGCCACTTAGAGGGTTAAACACTGAATTTTAATAGAAAGATTCAAAAATATCCTTTTGTATTTCATGAATTAAAACTTGCCTGTGCATTTACAAAAAAAAACATATACATCATTACATAATTCAATAATTTAATTAATAAACTATGTCTATGAACTAAAATTCAACCCAATTTTACAGAGCATGAACATTATATATTTTTTCCAAGAATATAAAAATTAAAAGTCAAATGATAGATGATCAGCATGACTGAACATGTAACGTATTTGCCATGAGACTTCGCAGCTCTGCAGTAATGCCTCCTGTGAATACAACAATATATGATCATGCACCCTGCCTCATTGCTCTGTCTAACAGCAGACAATTTTACCACATGTTTATTGCTTTTTACATCCAGTAGTTTTACAACAACTTTTAGTTTGGTTTGGCAGAACTTGAGCATTGTTAACGCTCTCATAATATGTGAAGACTGTTGACAATTGACCTTTCAATAATTTCACTTCGTGTTCAAGGACATCTGTGACTCCTTTCATCTCCTGGGTTATATATTCAACACAAAAATCTGCATGAGACACAATGGAATTCTTAGGTTGCTTGGATGGATAGGGCCAGGCAAGGAGGATCATTGTAGCAAAATGACTAAATTTTATCTGAGAGGTGTTCTGATTACAGTAGATTTGCTCATTCACAGTTTTGAGGTTAACCATCCCATCCCAACTTTCGATGATTGAGTGTTCACCAGAGCTAAGGGATTCGCTGATCATTTGGAAAAGAGGTAGCTGTTCTAAGGAACGAAGGAGATTGCAAATTGCACATTTGTGCTCATGAGAAAGACAGCAATCGTTGTCCAATTTGATGGTGAAGATTTTGTCAAGACCTGTTTGAAAAATGGAAAGTTGTAATAGTTAGAATGATGCTGTGAGTGTGGTGATGCTTATGGTGGTGATAATGGTGGTGGTAGATGGTCATGGTGGTGATAATGGTGGTGGTGATGGTCATGGTGGTGAATATGGTGGTAATGATGGTGGTGGTAATGATGGTAATGGTGGTAATGATGGTAATGGTGGTAATGATGATGATGGTCATGGTGGTGATGATGGTGGTGGTGATGATGGTCATGGTGGTGATAATGGTGGTGGTGATGGTCATGGTGGTGAATATGGTGGTAATGATGGTGGTGGTAATGATGGTAATGGTGGTAATGATGGTAATGGTGGTAATGATGATGATGGTCATGGTGGTGATGATGGTGGTGGTGATGGTAATTGTGGTAATGATAGTGATGGTAATGGTCATGGTGGTAATGATGGTGATGATGGTGGTAATGATGGTGGTGTGATGATAGTGATGGTAATAATGGTGGTACTAATGTATCTGACAGTGGTGGTTATGGTGACAACAGTGACAATGGTTAGTGTTTTGAAAAACTACCTGGAAAACATTCTGTACACCACAAGCTCAAAAATTTTGAAATAAGTATCACAAGAAACTCCTTCTTTTCAGTGTGATTGTGACACTGTGCCATAAGCCATGTTTGCCATTGCTGCAAGACCTTTGAGCAATCAGGGTTCATCTCCGAGGGCAAGCTCAGGTTCAAGTTGTTGGAAACTTTGAACAAAATGGTTGGGTTGCCTGTGTGAAGGGTTCGCCTCAAAGTCAAGTAACCACGGGGTTGACCTTGAAATTAGAATTATTCATTTGTTAGCAAAACAAAGAAATTAATAACTAAGGCCAAAACTTATTCAGTTTCTGGTCAGTGAGTACATTTGTAGTTTCGATAAGTGCATACATTGATTTCTTATGCTTAATGTTAAACTGTCACCAAGTTTACATAGAAATGATAGAATAAAATGAGAACTGGTAGATGTTGACAACTACTAAATATTCAGGTGTATAAAATAATAGAAATATATCAAACATCTATCACAACACTATGCTTTATTCTGTCACAAAACGCATGCCAAACCATGCAGCATATATGTTATATGATATCACTTTTGTGTCAAAAGTTCAGTAGATTTTCTTGACCAGGGAAAGGGAAGAAAAGTTCAGATGAGATGATCGGCACTTTTCATAAAAAAGAATACTTTTTTACTAACATTAGGTTTTTGGAAGCAGGGGTTTTGAGGACTATTTGCTGGGTCCATTTTTGTAGAGTGTACTATGGGTCTGGACAGCTGTCACCCCCCCCCCCCCTCCTGCAAATAAGGAGGACAGGGTGGGGCTTGGGGTGTCCATGACAAACACATGCAGAAGTTTCATGGCTTTAGAACAGCTCAAAATTGCATGTGGTATGTTAGTTTTTTCCTACTTTGTTGGGTTTCCAACAGGAAAACCTATTTCCACATCACAATTTTAACTCATTTTTACTGCACTAAAACTTTTGATGAGATGAATCAGGATGTTAGTAGGATGCTACCCTACTTCATGTTATAAAAATTACACTCTTCACTGACCAGTTTTAACCTCGGAAAGTTTGTTTATCAATCACACTCTTCTTTTATTTATCAATCACACTCTTATCAATTACACTCTTCACTGACCAGTTTTAACCACGGAAAGTTTATTTAACCTCGGAAAGTTTATTTATCAATACAAACATAAATTGCTTCCTAATTGTTTTGAATGTCCACTTTTAACTGTAAATCAAATTCACAATTATAATACCCATAAATCAAGAACACTTAGCGACGTCCCTTATTGCAGGACAAATACTCGCCTATTTTCTGTCAATTATCAAGGACCAACATTTTTCAATACGTTGAATCCCGATATACGTAATTCATCATCTATTTTTAGTTTTCAATCTAAGTTAAGATCGTTTCTTTTTTCTCGTTACATATAGTTTCAATATTTAGTAATTTGGCTCATTTCATTTTTACTCGAATATCTGTCTTTGCCCTAGTATCATGCACATGTTTCATTTAATCTAGCTGAAATCAATGAGGTAGCCCAAAGTACACAAGCCTGATGGTTTCTATTTGGGCTTCCTCACCACAATTATTTTTTTTGTGATATGTATGATTTTCTAGTATTTGTATTTTTTTGTGGTAAACCAAATAAATTATTATATATACCAGTTACCACTTCCAATGCCTGCATGGCCCTCCAAAGCACATCAACAGTTACCCAATGAGGCGGATACTTAAATCTAGCCACGTCAAAGATCAATACCAAGTCCCGCCCGCTATGGTAACCACCTATTGGTGAAAAATGACCATCTCCTGTCTGGCCAAGCATTTTCCGCGAGTACGAACACACCAGCACTTGGCTTTCACACTGGGTGACACGCTTTACCACATCTCGGAACTCGACCACTGTTGTCGTCGGCAATGCCTGGACCATGTCGACGTCCAATCCATTACACATAGCAAGGCATGAAAAATGGAATAGCGTTATGCCTTCCTTTTTGACGACTTCAAGTGGCACACAACAATCTAGCATACTTTCATGGTACCATCGCCAAGGACCTTTCCACACCTTGCCCGGATCAACTGATAATGCATTCAAAACCATAACTAATGTTGACAAGCCACAATAAGCCGGTTCGTCTTGTGTCCGAAATTGTGAACTCAGATTAAAAAAACAGTCCATAGTGCCTTCATTCAACGCTTCTTTGAAAATATTTTTGCCCTCCGTCGAGGCAAAATCGATGCAAGAAGAAGGGAGGGGCTTGCGATAATATTCCTTCTTTGGGGTCGCCATATTTGTATATTACTTATTCTCTTTTGTATAGCTTCTGTCTTTTCTTGTGCAAAACGAAAGCAGGTTTTCGCTTCCAAAATAGGTTGTTTATCTTGTAAACTTTATATAGAATGCATTCTTCGTGGAAAACATATATTTTCCACAATATAAATCACAAAATAGGAAATGATATTCGGTATTTCTTTTCGGACCGTGTTATATTATTCTGTGAATTGATGAGGAGATTGGGGCCGAGTTTTAAAAATTCTGTGAATCAAAATGAGCAATCCGACTCAACCAATAATTTCTGGAAAGATTCTAAATTACCTGTAGTTGGTTGACTTCCGGAATGACATGAATAACAAGCTTTCAAAAATTGGGAAAATTCCTATACAATACAATGTATTTGGATTTTGGGAACGCGCGGTACATCCCCCAAAACAGTCAAAACTCCGTCATATTTCATTTTCATAGACATAGTAATTTTCGCAATTTGTTGGACTTTTTTCCAAAGTTGTTCCCCATTTTTTCAATGTTTGATGGATCTGACTTCGTACTTAACATTAAGGCAGTGTGCTCAAATATTTCTTAAAAATCCTTCAAAACTTAGAATTTGTCAGTTGAGGAAAAACATATTTTTAATAATACACTGGCTTCCAGTGAAGTTTAGAAGTATGACTTTAAAGAGGGCCCTGAAGGGGTAAAATGGGAACTGGGATTGATCTATTTTTAGACTGGGAAAATGGGATTTGGGTCGCTGGGACTGGGATTTGGCCACGGGGAATGGGAAATGAAGTCCTCAAAAATGGGAATGGGATTGAGGTAATGCGAGTCGATTCCCAATTTTTCTGCGTTTTGAGTATTTTAAAATACAATTTTGATCCGTTTTTGGTGTCTTTGGTCATGATTTTTGTTGTTAACTATATTATTCACAGCACTACCTGCGAACAGGCATACTCTGGCGCCCGGAATTCTGGGTTTTCTGATTATGCGTCTCAGAATGCTGCAAATGCCATTTCCGGGATTCAAATTTAAAAATTTTTCGTGCCTTCGGCACGAGACCCCCCTCTAATATTTCATGAAGTGTCCGCCACTTGCTTAAAAGGTCTTAAAACTGTTTATTCTACCGATAAATAAAGGGGGTTTTATTGACTGGGATTTCAATAACTGGGACTTCTAATAAAAATCCAACTGGGGCTGGGATTTTGCCAAAATTTCAGGTGTAAAATGTTGCCGATAATCTTCAAAGCACTTCATAGCCTAGCACCCGACTATATCTCTGAGCTTAGGGACCGGTCATGAAGTAACTGCTAGCGGATGGGCCTTTGGGTGGGCCATCAAT